AAACCACACCATGGATTAAGATTAAACGTTTATTAGAATGACAGTCTTTAGACATAGCGGAATAGATCAGTACATTGATAGTCCATTTATCCTTTGCACCTAACTCAATTATTTACAGCTTTTACAGCAGTTGCACATTCAGTATCCCTGACACGATCTCTAGTAAAGAAAATCATAGGGACCGAATAGGATGGCACAACACGTTTCCGGCTTCTCCAGGTGCACTCACATTTTCCGCGTATTTCAGCCCTTTGTGTGATCTTAATTCAGCCTCGCCCAGGATCAGACCTTCAAAGAGCTTCTCCGCCTGTTGACTCGCTCTACTGCCGCGATTTCTTTGTGCAATTCTCCCCAAAAAAGGAAAGTGTAACGTGAGACCACCCTCATGCTCCCATCCCACCGGCGCGAAAGCAGGAAAACATTCGTCCCTAAAAGGCTGTAATGTCTTCAGGAAGGGCAATTATGCTCCTCGCATGCCCGCTTCTTCCTGAATTATTAACGCTTCCCACAGCATCGTGAGGAATATTTGAACTGAGATCAAACCGTTGCTCTTTCCAGAACAAATCGAGGCGCTTACTGCACTCGTAGTGCCTCTTCGGTTCACATTAGTACAGTTTACTCAACCCTATGTACCGATTCTCATGACACACCAAACCTTCCACTAGACAACAGGCTAAGTTCGCTCAGGTCGCTAAAATGATCTGAAATTGGCTAGTTTATAACTCACTCTATCCCCAAACAAAGGGGTTTATTCTCCAAACGTTCAGAATTATCGTTAATTTTGTGCTTTTAAGCCAGTCCCTTCCGTTAAGCCTTCCAATTGTAAGGTGTGGAGATCACGGTATACACTTTAGTCTGTTAGAAGGGAAGATAAACCGATTTAAGAAACGAAGGGAGCTTGCATGTACAGTGTAAACCAGTGTTGTCTGTTGACGATAGCTGTCTTTCAATACTTGAAGTGCTGTAAAAGAGAATACGGAGTCGATTAATTCTCCATAGCATTTAAGGGCAGGACAAGAAGTAAGGCTGGAAGTTGGTCAGAGGGAGATTCAACCTGGAAGTAAGGAGGAATTCCTGACAGTGAAAACAATGGAACGCCTTGTCTCCCAGAGTTACAGGTGCCCCATCACTGGATATTTTCAAAAATGATTAGACAACCATTTGTCCAGCACGGTGTAAGGATTCCTGCCTTGGCAGAGAGTTAGACCACAAGACCTTTACGGTCCCTTCCAGTCCTATGATTCCAGGGGTCTTCAAACTTGGCCCTTCTATGACTTGTGGACTTCAACTCCCAGAATTCCTCAGCCAGCGTGCTGGCTGAGGAATTCTGGGAGTTGAAGTCCACAAGTCATAGAAGGGCTAAGTTTGAAGAACCCTGTTCTAAACCGTATGGACTTCAACTCGCAAAATTCCTCAATTAGCATGCTGGCTGGAGAATTCTGGGAGTTGAATTCCACGTATCTTAAAAGTTGTCAAACTTGATGTAAGCCTTCGTGTTTCGTTCTGCGGTGCGGTGCGGTGCCTTGAGATAAATTACTAATTTTTAATGCGGGAAAAGAGGGAGAGATATAAGCTGGGCTAATCATTCGACGCTTGCAGCTCCCATTCTCCTCCCCACAGAACCTGCAAGCGGGAATCAGAGAACACGCCCCTATTTCTCCTTCGCCACGGAGCGAAAAGCGCGAAGAAGGCACGTGACAAGAAAGAAGGGGACCCGCTCGACCAATCGCTCGGAGAGAGGGCGTGGCCAGAGTGGAGCACTTCGTCATAACAGGGCGGAGTGTGGAAAAGCGGGGTGAGGTATTTGAAAATGGAGCAGGAAAATGATTTAAGTGTCGCGAGCTATGCCGCTTCTTTGCCACAGACGACGGCGGAGGCGGCCTTTGTGGACTGTGGCACAACAGAGAGTAGTTCTTCGGACCTGTTCGCTGAGGTGGAGTCGACAGCCGCTGGATGGATGCTGAATTTTGCCTGCCGCTGCCTGTGCCGCCATTTTTGCGAGGGCAACCGCGCCGACTTCGAGAGGAGCAGAGACTTGGCCCTAAGTACTTGGCTATTTGGCGGGATGTGGGAGAAGGGAGTTGTGGCCGTTGGTAACCCCTTTGTTGGTGCCGGTGCCGGTGCCCAAACCCATAATGCATGGCTCAGTAGACTAGAAAC